GATAGATAGATAGATAGATAGATAGATAGATAGATAGATAGATAGATCTGTTCTTCTTCTTAGTCCCATCCAGCCACAGCCCAAGGTATTTGTACACAACCTCTCCCTCCTTTCCTTTCCCTCGAATTGGTCAAGGACTTGGTATGATTCTCCCAAAGTCTATGAACAGTTATTTAATCTTTGAGTTGTTCAGCTGCAGGTTCTTTGCGGGGCATGTGGCTAATACAGCCCGTAATTGCTGGATTTGTGGATTGGTTGTACCGGCTGTAGAGCTAGTTCAGTCTGGATCCTTCCGCATCATCTCCTCCACACACCTTGCTGCTTCCGACTGAGAGACGCAATTTCTCCAGACAGCCCTGAGCCATCCTTCTAAAAGTACATGGCCAAGTAAAAACATCCCCATAGAGGCCATAAGAAAGAATACTAACTTGATTCGGCTCTTTTGAATGTGGAGGAGCAGTGATTTAACTCTTTTTAGAACAGGACTTACCCTATCTTTAAAAGTAAGGTCAGTGAGGACTGGAGAAAGATTGGAGCTGCTCATTCTTCTGGAAAATGCTATTTTCCAATCCTTACCTGAATGAACAATTAAATCCTGAAAGAACTAAAAATAATTCTCGTAAAAAAGTAGAACAGAATTGCGACAAAGGGAGCTCTTCCAGGCCTACAACAACAGTCCTGACAAATGTTTGTGCACCTCCCACAAAGCCCCAAAAACAAATGAAGATTGATTAAAAAATACCACAAACTCTTCAATATCCTTGTGAAGTTAATTAGTTGGACCAGTGTTTCACAACTACGATGCAAACCAGTTTGCTCCTCTGGAACGTGAGCTTTGACTATCTGCAGGACTCTCCTTCACAGCACCTTGAAACAGACTTCAACAGACAGTTTGAAATAAACATAAAAAAATGGTGCAATAAACAAAAGGACCAGACTCATTTAATACTCTACACTCAACAACTACACTATGAACCCTTAATTAAACCAGAAACAGTGCTGGCCAACATGTACTTGGGGCCAGCAAGTGGGAACCTCCTTTGATCAGTCTTGGGTCTAGTTAGACCAGTGACACCTCCAGGAGGGTAGACTCTGAATCCAGGAGGCTAGACAGTGATGGGATACGAGGTGAAATCACCCTGCAGGTGGAAAACACCAACTGTGTGATTACAAAATCCAACATTGGACTGCAGCGTTCAGTGTCCTCACACCAGGTGCACCAATGGACACTGCTTGGGTGTTTGTCAAGGACAGCCTATGACTAGCCAAGAGGTCCAACAATACAACACGGAAGTTCAGATGGGGGGGGTCATCCCTGCAGTCCCATCCTTTCAGGTTTAGCTGCCATTGCCAACATTAGCATTTAAGCTAACCTGTAGGACAAAAAAATCCCTAGGCAGTGCACTTTTCAGAACTGGATGCAGGGATTTATGGAGATATTGGTCTTCGACTATGCATATTCTTAAGGGGCCACAACATGGATACTGTAGTTTCATGTCCCTAACTTATAATCATATCTCACATATTTTTGATTACATCGGTATTTGACCTATAATTTTTATTCAATGCATTGTGGGAAAAATCCCTTACTATGTGTGCCAATGTTTGTGTGCTCCATTTTACAGGGAAGGATGAACTGGAGATTTCCCCATATTATGATTCATTGATGGACACCCGCATGGCCTCTTTGGTTGCAGGTAAGTAACTTAGGTTGTCCTTGTTAAAATCACAACACGTCACAACAAAGGTACAATGAGGTCATTGGGCAGCATAAAAAAAAGATCATTGTTTAAGAACAATTGTTAAGAATCAAAACATAAAGAACACAACTAACTACCATTTGAAAGAAAGAAAAGAAAACTTAGCCAAACTATGCTAACCAAACAGAAGTACGAAGAGAAAAGCACCTAAAAATCATTTCAAGAGCACAAAAACTAAAAGTCATGTCAAGCCTCACAAACTGTTTACTTTTTCAAAGCAATCACCAGTTTATATCAAAGCGAAATGGCAGCGCCCTCTAAAAGTAAGCACAGAAATGGAGAAATATTGAGCAAATGAGCAAAAAATAACACAATTTAATCAATTCAGTTTTAACAAGATACAATAGTATTAACATAATACAATTAAACAATGCCACTAAAATGGGCCTTTAGTCTTTCTTAAAGATATAAATGGAATACTGCACTGGTTCAAGAAGAGAAAAGGCCTTGCAAACTGTCTGATAATGGATTGGGGAAAGACAAAAGACCAGAATATTAGAAGCGCCAAAGTACAATGTACCAGAGTCTATATAACTACCAGTTCAGAAAGATATGATTGTCTTATGCAATTTACATTTATTGTAAAGAACAACACCTTAAAGTTTGCTCTCACTGGAACAGGAATTAATTAGAGTTCTTATTTAGACTGCTGTAACAGCTGCTCACTGGGCTCCAAACCAGCTGTGATCCAGCTGCAGAACATCCAGAGTGCTGCTGCTCCAGTCCAGACCAGAACCAGGAAACTGGAAAACATCAGGCCAGTTCTCAGGGCCCTGCTCTGGCTTCCTGTCACTCAGAGAACAGACTTTAAAGCAGCTCTGCTTGTGCACAAGTGTCCTCATGGTTACTTCATCAAACACACTAACATCTTTGGTGTGGTCAACTAATTAACCCTTTGGTAAATAAACAAAAGAAAGATGCACCCAAATTAATGCTGGACAGTACCCATGCACACTCATGCATGCATACGGGGTGAAACACCTTCTTTACTCAATCAGCAAGCTAACCAGCACACCTCTTTGATGGTTTCTGCCTTGAAGGGTTCTTTAATTCTGCGTATTTCTAATCTGTGTCTCTTTTCAGTGACCTTTTATGTGGACTTAAGCGTATCAAATAGCCATTGGTTATCTTTAATGCAGATGAGGGGAATAGAGTCAATGTCTGCTTTATCTCAGAGTAGAGCGTAGCTAAGACCATTGCATTGCCTATACTGTCTGAAATTGCAAGAGTTTCTCCTGCCAGGGTGCCTCTTATCTACACGTCTCATCTGCTTAGACTGCTAAAACAAAGAAGAACTTTTCCCTGTTTTTCCCTGGAGGGCAATCAATGTGTACCTCCATCTGGAAAATTAGCCAGAGAGGCATCACTGAAGACAACTAAACTCAAATCACGGCTGTTTCCCAAATGTTGAAACGTAGGTGTGACCGTTTCTGACTTAGGTTTATGAATCACTTCATGCTGAACAGTGGCATTTTTAATGTTAGATACAAACATAACATCTGGTCTCGTCTGCTTGGCAACCTACGAAATCTGTCCTGTTCGGCTCTAAGACATTCTCTGTCTGTTTCATTTAGTGGGGCATCACTCTGTACAGCCCATGCTACCCTTTAGTGAGCTGTTAGTTGGTTGTCAATGTGATTGTGCTGATGCTCCTTACTACAGTCCTTTGCCAGCAACTTATGCCTGCAACTCAAGGTGGTTGCAGCCACTTGATGTGGGCACATAGGCCCTGGAGTGTCTCTAACCCTAACCCTATCCCTAACCCTAAACCCTTGTATCCTAACCCAGCCATGTCCTCCTCCCTCATCTGCACTAACCAAACCTACCTCCTGCACTAACCCTAACCCTAACCTTGACCCTCTCCTTAACCCCTAACCCTAACCATCCACTTACCTGCATTCCCTACCCCAAATCCTAACCCTAACCTCCAACTATTGTCCAGCCCCTAGAAATTTAAGGACACCCCTCTTGGATTCAAAGACTCAGGAACTCGAAAAGGACTTGGAAATGGAACTTAGGACACACCTTATAGGAAAAATGGGCAAACAACAAGGAGGAAGGGAAGGAAGAAGGGAAGAAAAGAAAGGGATGGACGAAGGTGAAAGGAAGGAGAGAGAGAAAAGGGGAAAAGGAGGAAAAAAGGAAGAGAAACTCGAAAAAAGAAAAAAAAAGAAAGAAAATCCAGATGACACACAGAAAGAAAGGAGACAGGAAAAGAATAAAAATCAAAGTTAATTACTCACCACCTGGCAAAGGTATAAAAGGAGACACAAAGCTTTCAATATACTTCTGGAGGAGGAGCTAACAAAATGGTGGACAAGTTCGAGGGAGGGTGGAGAGCGCACCTTTTGCCCCTTCCCTTGCGGGGAGGGGCAAAAACCCTTGTATCCTAACTCTGCTAACCCTAAACCTAACCCTGACATGGCATTGTTCAGGGCAGTGTCCATTCAGGAGATCTTTACTCTGCTTTATAAGGTTAATGTCACGGTGCCTCCATCGGCCCATTCTGTTCTGAGTTTGGCACCTGCCACTCATGGAGGCCGATAGGGTCCTGCTCGGTAGGCAGTACTTTCCTAGTAGGTTGTCTGCTTAGCAATCTGGGAGTCAGGCCTGTGCAGTGCCTGACCTACATGTAGGGGGAGGGTCTCACCCTCCCTCTCACTGACAGGCTTGCAAAGTGCAGTAGGAGCTTCTGATGAGGTCATGCCCAGAGTGCTTCCCAATAAAATGAGACACTCCCTCATGCTACTCAGAGAAACGGAGTTATGCAAGTAGCTTAGAGTGTTTGGCCCAATGGTACGCTCTCTGCGTGCCATTGGTGATTTTATGGACTTACCAAATGGGCTTACCGTATCTGTCCAGTGGGTTTTTAGCCTGTTGTGGCTACCGCTGTTACTCCATCTGAATTTGTTTGGTGATTCTTTTTATTTTTCTTCCCTTAAAAAATATTGCATCTAATTTAGCAAACAAATCGTCCATACTGTTGTTTTTGTTCAGATTGTCAGCAGGTATTTGCAAAGCGATGTCTCTGGCTCTCCCTGAGGGTGTGTTTCATTTTTTATTCTCCGTAAAACCATAAATACCCCATATATCTCCATAAAACTTTCTGAAGAAGGGAGACAGGCCTTAACTCAGGATGAAAACGATTTAACTGTTGGTATGACAACTGGCTGTATTTCATTATTACGCTTCACTTTTGATTTATTTAATCAATGATTTTTATTTATTTATATTCTGTTTAAGTTATTCTTAATTTCTCATTTTAAACAATAACTTTTTTGCATTTTTCTTTTTTTTGCCTTGCCTTATGTTCAAATTGACCTAAAAGATGGGCTGCTGCATTTTGAACAGTTTGCAGACCCTGGATCCTAGATCTGAGAATATTTCAATTTTAGATTATAGATTAAAATGCTTGATGAGACAGACGTGATCTTAGTAATGTGTCTTAGATGAAAAAGGCGACATTTGAGTCCACTTCGACATGAAAAACAAAAGAAAGTTTCCTGCCCAAAACAACGTCTAATGGCTCATAAATCTGTCTCTACAGTGAATAACACAGTCATCCATTTCATTGTCAAATGTTGCAGATTCTCAAGCCTCAGTTCAGAAAAAGCCTTTTCCAAATGGCTCTCTTCCTCTTTGAACTGTAGCAGCTGTTTTATCAGTTCTAAGTGGTCTTCCCAACTGTGGAAATATGTCTAATAAAACACAGAATCACACAAATAGAATGATCAAACGCTACCAAAAATATGAAACATCTCTACTTGTTTCTCTCTGACTTCACACTTTTTTTTTATTTTACTCATCTTCCATTCAAGTTGCAGTTAATATATGCCATATGTCATAAATTGACTGAAAACACAGACCCTCTGACATAAATATATAGAAAAATAATAATAGAAATGTGTTTAGGTGAAGCAGTCGGTTGAATGTGTTTGCCAAAGAGGAAATACTTTGGTATTCTCACTCTCAAAACCTTGAAACAATGGATCGTTTTTTTTAAAAAGTTTCAGACTTTTCATTTCTGATGTCCACTTCACGTATGTGCACAATCAGCTTATTCACCCCTTAGTCTTCGGCCAGTACCTCAGGGAGTACTGGAAGAAGAAAATGTCACCATACCTGAGCTAATATGAAACAAGATTGTTTTAATCAAAGCTGTAGAACAAACAGCCTTTAGGCTACATGTGTATGACCCAAACCTGCAGCTTTCTTTATCTTTACACAAATTACACTAAAACAAAGACATGTCACGTTTGAGTCTTTGTAGGTAAGAACACTGGTTCAACAATCAGAATATCGTAACAGTATGGTCAGAAAAAAAGCCTTCTTGAATACATTATATACCCCAGTCTTTCTTTTCCACGAACATATCATTTACCACCTTCTGTCTCCTCATTCTGTAACAAACTGACTGACTGTCAGTCTTATTGATCAAGTTTTCTTTTTAGGTAAAAGCTACATATTCTTGATAGCTAACATGGGCAGGAACTAAAACCCAACAGATCAACATTGGTGTTCACAGACGCTCTTTTTCTATCATGGTATAAAATGTAAGGGGTTGTTTACGAAAACTGCAACTCACCTCTTTTACTTTCCTACTCATGTCCATCTTACCAGCCTCATCTCTCATGCAACTGGACGGTGAGAACCAGTGCCTGAAGGCCGCCCAGGACTGCGGCCTCTTCGAGAAATGCGGTTCCCTGCGATCGGAGTACGTGTTGGCCTGCACGAAGCCGATGCCCGGGACCTCCCGATGCAACCAGCACAAGTGCCACCGGGCACTGAGGCGGTTCCTGGAGCGGGTACCTGAGGAGTACAGCCTGGGTGTCCTGTTCTGCCCCTGCGTTAACAACCTTTGCGGGGAGAGGAGGAGGAAGACCATTGTCCCCTCCTGCTCCTACCAGGATTTGGAGGGTCTCCAACCTAACTGCCTCCATCAGCAGAGTTTCTGTCGCCGGGACGACCTCTGCAGGTTAGACAGCCTATTGTTAACGCACACTACACCTGCCAAAAGTATCTGCTCGCCTGCCTTGACGATATGAATTCAAATGATGCCCCATTCTTCTTTTTTTTTTAATTTTGTCTTGTCAAGCGTCATTGCAAGCAGAAGGTGCTGTGGCTGCCGTACTTACGCCAAACCGATTTGCTTTACCTTTCTGTATAACCCTTGATGAATTATCTATTGCTTTTAAGGTGTTATGTGCGATCTTATGCCAAAAGCATCTGCTCTCCCACATCTGTCAATTCAAGTGCTTCCCAATCACTCCTTTTGTGTTATAACACCACTTACTGTGGATTATTCCAGAGTTTGGAAATTAGATTTCACAACTGCACTTGATTTCATTACCACTCTGATGTTTGTAGAAACAGTCCACAGGCCTGGGTTGTTGGTTTTATAACATTATTTGGATGGGTGAGTGATGCTTTTGGCAATATAGTGTATGATGCATGTGAATAGGTGCATTATTTTTGCGTACTGTTTCTGTTGTAGAATAAGTATCTGTTTAAAATCTCATTCTTTTCTTTGTATGTTACTTGGTTATTGGTATTGAATTTTCTTGAATGTTTTCCTTTTATCAGAGTGTTTTTCCAAAACATTATTATGTGCTTCTGTAACCGTAGTAATTGCTGGATTTGGAAAATATTTCTCCTGTTTGATTCTTCAGTGCTCATCTCCAATGGATCCTTGGATCCTTCTCCACTTTCAAGCATTTCTTGAAGATGAATCTCTTTCAAAAACCGACTTTCAACTGCTCAAACTCAGCCTCCCAAATTTCCTACCAATATTGTGTGTTTGATGTTGGCCTGTTTTTGCTTTTGCCAGGTCCAGATTGGCTGATTTCCTCACTAACTGCCAGCCATCTCCCATGACAGCGAGTGGCTGTTTGAAAGACTCAACAGGCCTTTGCCTCCGAGCCTATGCTGGACTCATAGGTACATGACCAAGGGGAGGGTCAATGAAGGGCCATTGTATTCTACTTCTAACCATGTAGAAATTCAAAGAGAGGACATTTTAGAAAGAAGTAGAGCCAGAATAAACTAAGAAACTAAGCCTTTTTCCTCCCACCATTCAGTATCATTAGTTGGCTTATATGCAAACTATTTCCATCTACTCAATAGAATAACCATCTTTAATTCAAGTTAAAAATTGAACAGGCATATGTGCACATTTGTTGATACCACAGAACCAGAAAAGAATATGGAACAGTTACAGGACTGCCAGTGCTCTCGTGTGTGGTGATGATTAGGGATAAAACTGTCAGAGCCATAAGATGTTTACAAAATATTTAGGAATGATTTTGAATAAAATGTATACAAATTAATTAAGTTTTATTATTTGCAGTAACAGGGCGGATTATGTTAAACAAGCTATTTGGAAATAATACAAGCAAGAGAGAAATCGAAAAACATAATCAATGTGGGAAAAGTATTTTTCTGTAATATTTCCTATTTCTCCATTCACAATCTTCATATCTCCCAATATGTACATCTTATTATAGCACCATTAAACCAAATTATATTTAATCAAACAGTTCTTTATTGACACCTGAACGGAAATTATATTTGTGCTGCACAAATGATTGGGATAGGATCCAGTCCACTCACAACCCCGTCTTGGAATGAACGGGTATAGAAATGGATGGATGTGTGGCTGAAAGCATGACCGGTCAAACGCTTCAAGAGATGAATTGATTTACTGTCATGCGTGGGACCTTTGACACCCTGAAGACTTCTGACGCCTCTGACCTGCAGGTACCATCATGACCCCCAACTACATCAGCAACAGCTCCGCCGACGTGTCGCTGTGGTGCAACTGCGAAGGGAGCGGCAACCAGTGGCAGGAGTGTCTGAGGCTGCAGCGCCTCTTCACCCACAACTCCTGCCTGCGTGAGTCCGCTCTGCCCACACAAACACACACCACAAACAGATATCACCAAGGTTTTAGAAAGAGCGGGACTGGAAAAGGCTTAATCCGGGGCCTTAACTAGTTTGGAATCAAAGGCTACGATTAATTTACCATTTGCCTATAACACTTTCCCAACAGTGCATAACAGTTTTAGAATCAGAATCACAAATACTTTAATAATCCCAGAGGGAAAATATGTAATGTAATGTCACCATTACTCTGTCTTAGCCCTTCTATTAACATATTTTTCTTTTAAGATGTTTCTCAAAGTCTATGTCCATTAAATAATCTTAATTATTTGAATTAATTATTTAATCTCAATTTTTTTCTGAACCCACACTTTAATCTGACCTTAGCGTAGCTTTTCTTGTAAAATATAACTATCTAAAAATAAAATGTAACAAAATATGTTGCACTTAAAAATAGACATTTTAAATAAATGTTGCCTCAGTGTCATCTGAATTATTAGTGCGAGGATCAGAATTATGAACACAATGTTTACTAGTCTCCGTCCAGATCCAGGCAGGAAGAGCTCAGAGGGAATAAATAAAGAGCAGCTTTGACACCGAGTCTGCTGAATGTGTCTGGGTGGCTGCCTCCTGCAGCTGTTCTCCCAGCGTGGGCTGAGCTCTGCTGCTTTCAATGTCGGCTACATGCTACCGTGTTAGCATAGATAATGGTTCTAAAACAGACCAGGAACAAAAGGAATATCCTGGTACGAACAAGGGGAAGTTTGCTTTTCGCTCCGTTGCGGCAGCTGTCGAGCATAACTATTGATACACAATGAATCTGTACGTCAGTTCGTCAAGGCGCTTCCCATAAAACTTGGTGATTTATCAAGCTGACGATGACTCCGGCAATAAAGCTGCCAAACAGATATGTTAGTTCACGCCCACTCATGCATCATCTCAGGCCAGCCGAGTGCACACAGTCTCCCGCTATTCTGTGGACAAACCCAAACCCGACCGAACCTAAAGAAACACCAATCCCTCAAACTGAACGCCACAATGATGCTATTAAGCTCAAGCATTAAGCTTCACGTGTGCACTGCCGGTCACAACAAGGTAAAAACATGTCACTGTCGGTCTGGAGTGCACGAGAATGCAGACATTGAGAGGTGCTGCGTTGTCTCCCCGTGCAGGTAATTCAATCAGCTTGATGGGAAGCCCTGGCCTGCCGCCGTCCGACATCACTCAGCCTCCCGCTCCCAGACCTTCTCCGCTGGTTCAGGAGGACGAGCTGTTGGGCAGCAATCACCTGCCTGAACTCACCAACGATGTGAGTCTGCCCGGGTCACCGTCATATTTCACAGACTCCTAACTGGGTTGGGCTGACATTCAATGAGCTTCTCGCTGTTTGCGACTTGTAGAATTAAAATGTATTAATGGGGCTTTCAGAGTGTGGCGTACCTCCACCGGTCACTGCCCTACCCACAATGGATTAGAGTAGTTATTTGGGCCAGTAAGAGGAGCCCAGTTGTTGCTTCCTCTTCTTTATTTGGCATAAACCTATAAAAGCACTATACTGCCCCCCGTCCGAAGGTGATCTCCATGTACTCTATCCCCTCTTTGTACTTTCCCCTATTTGTTGACACCTAAGCATTCCCTCCTTTGGTTGATTTTTTTTTTAAAGAAATCACAAGCAAGTGGCGTACTTTAGTTTCAGCAGGATTGGAGATCACAGGACCACACCAACTGTCACAATCAATCCCTCAGCCAGAAGTCGGGATTGCCCTGCTCAATACTCATTCGCATTGACTCACAGATGCCTTGTCCTTTGTGAGCTTTTACCCTGAAAGTCCTTGGATTTATTCTTCTCGCTGAAACGTGAGGTGAGGTTGTTCCCCTTGACGAGCCGTGTCCTGTTGGCCCTCAGTTATTGGGACATATCGAGTGGGCTGGCTGTCGGGTACAGTAATAGATACTTCAATAGGTAGATGACCTCCTGTCCATAACTAACTGAACTGATAGACATGTATCTGGTCCCACACACACCAAGGGACACACCCTGGACCTCGTTTTCTCTATTGGTTTAAACATCACTAACATTTATGTGGTGGATATACAGGATGTGATACATTGTTTTATTAGATCTATAATCATTGGTCAAAGCTTAGATCCAACTATATAGAATAATTGATTATTGCACCAGATCCCAAAATCCCTCAGATCATTGATAAGGATCTAGGCTAGTCTGCTAGGCCTAGTCTAAACTCCTCATTTTAAACTCGGCAATGAGCAGCACTGTAAAGACATGGACCAGATTTGCTTCCTCTACCTAAGGAACATTGCCAAATGAAAGTCAAGGTCTCAAAAACTGAACAAGAGAAGATGACGCATGTTTTTATTTTATCAACTAAACTCACTAGTTTTAATAAAACCTCAACCATCTCCACTCTCTACAGAATACAGCTGCATGGCTTTTTGTTTTCACAGTTTTTATAATGGATTTGATCATTTTTATCATGTGGCCGGTGAGGCGTTCAGGAGAAGACATCAACTTTGAACCACCAAAATGTTAAGCTGACACCACATGTAGACACACATGTGGTTAGAGCACATATGCTTCGATAGACCCAGCTGCCCCGTTCTATCTCTGGTCACTAAACACGGTCCAATCCAATTGCGGTCCTGGCTGCTGTTACTCCGGGCAGACCACAGTCTGCTGTGGCTCACAGCTCCCTGCATGCCTCACAGTCATATATTATCTGGGCCTGCTGACAAAATGGGATTCCAACTCTCCTCCACTTGCACACTCTCTCCTCAAGTCTCTTTTTGTCTCTGTCCCAGGGAGCGGATTAGATGAGGTGTTGGTTGGAAAGACTTCTTCATTTGTATAAATTTATTCATGCCCATATGTTTCCACTATTACTTTTTCCCCCTAAATCTGTCTGTTGCATACTTCCTCGAGCCTACCACCTATAATCCATACACCTGCCCACAATCCATACTGCTCCACGTCTCTTTACCGGTCACTCAGCTCTTTATCTTAACTCCTCCTCAGAGCTTTCACTTGTTTTTATCAAAGTCATTATTCTCATAATTTGAGATGCTTTCATAAAAAAAGCTCAGAATACGGCAGAAAAAAAGAAAAAAGTCACATTAAGAAACATAAACGTCTTTTTAAAAAAACAATGAATGAATTGTGTGGTAGGGTGTCATTTTAAAGTGGCCCGCTATTCATTGTGTTATTGGTTTCGTTTTCCTGAGATATCCATTTTTTGTTCTGACAAACCTTAATTTTTCATTCTTCATTTTTTGTAATAGCTGTTTTAGAGTTTTAAATGAAGATTTATTACACTGATAAATATATATGGATTTAACCCACAGTGACACAGATATAACAAACTATTTAAACTGTGGACATATATTTGTATTTTTACTTTTTTTTTATGGTACCTAATTTTTAGGGTTCATTTGGTAATATTTTTTCCCGCTATAATTTCTCTTTCGAAAAAAATGGGTGAGGGCTCTTATGGGCTAAGATCACTTTTGTAAATATAACAAAATGAAATAAGAACAGTTTTGGAGTAAGATTTGCAAAAATGTGAAAGTAAGTGAAATGTAAAATAAATAAAACATTTGGCTCAAGTATCTCGGCATACAATTAGCTAAAGTGTCTTGTTTGCTGATCTGTGAAATAATCAGCCAGGCCATTAGTTAACCACAGTAGGAGTTGAACACTAATGGCTGCAACCTCCTAAAGTGCTCTGTCCTGCAGCTCAGTGACATCCTGCCCAGGCACAGAATGATCTGTACCTTCCTCTAGCTGCACCTTGCAGTGTCCAAACTCCTCCCCAGAACTGAACCAGCCCTGTGGATGGTTTTGTCAAGAAACTCCCTAGTATTTTGTCAAGCAGCCATCCCAACAGATAACAGCATGCTGCACAGCACTATAGACCAAAGACGTGGAAAGTGCGTCCTGTTAAGACAATTTGATTTTATGTAGACAGTGGGGCAAACCATGCCCTTTTTTAAGTGAGGCATCCCAGTTTCTTGACCAGTCAAGTCTGTCATCAATGGAGACAACCAGGTACCAGTAATACCACCCACCTCTATGTCATTCCCATCAACGATGACTTGAGATTCAGCTATGTCCTCGGTCTTGGTGTTTTTCAATTGGAGGTTCAATTGGAGGTGGTTTCTGGAACTTCATATTCTAAATGCACATGGCAGGAGTTAAAGTTGACAAAGTTCTGGAAGCCAAATGTGTATAGGCTGAAGGGGAACGTTGCTAGCACTGAGCCCCCATGTTGGGTCATGACTGTCTCAAATAACCAACTCAACAACATCAGAAACTTTGGCCATTCTCTCTGATAGTCTGTTGTACCTGATAAGAAAGTAATCCACCACATCCTTTCCAGCTTGTTTCCCAGGATATCAGGTTTAGTGGTAATAAGCCACTGGAGAAGTACAATTGGTCACTCTTGCATAACCACCGTGCTCATCCAGGTGAGAATGAGCCCTGTGGAGCATGTAGAGCACCTCACCGACCCTGGATGTCCAGCTACATGACCAGTGGGTTAACCCAGAGGTGGCCTCAGGTGTCCAGCTCATGAATGTGTGGTTGGACCCATGCAGTATCTCTGCATAGAGATAGTAGAGGGGCTGGAGGTAGACCAGGATGTGGACTGATTTAGCCAGCAGTGGTTGGCCATCAGTACTATAAGCATCAGAAGATACAACTGAAAGTAAAAAAGAGTTGTTAAACTGACAAAAAGAATGTAAAACATGCAAGCAAGTGTCAGATGGTGCTTCAATTAGAGAGGGTCATGTAATTATCAGAAGCTTAACTTGACTTAATTTAATCTTATTGCCCTAATATGCATCTTGAGCTCCTCCAGATGCATCTGCAAATCACTGAAGAAGAACAGCTGGGGCCTAATTTAATTATTACCAACAAGCAGTACACTGAATCAGACCCATGATTAGAACAAGTCTTTGATTACCGTTATGTTCAATTTTGAATTGACTGCTATTTTATTTGTAAAGCGCCAAATAAAACGGCATCACCAGGCACCTCAAAGGTACCATCTAAGTCAGGCCAGCCCAGCCAGAGTCGTGATACAATCATAGGCCATTCAAATCATATGGATGTTTTTCCAATTAAAACTTCATTTCATATGTGAACAATTATTATTACAGGAAGAAACCTGGGCCTTTTAACATTTCCCTCCACAACCACACCGTCCACCATTCCAAACAGATGTTTGAAACTATTCTGAGGACTATTCTGAGTTCAGATCCAGTAGGACAGTTTCATATGTGGGACAGGTGACAAAACTAAAGTGTTTTTAAGTCAAACTTTCCTTCCTCTGCCAGTATTTTAAATGCACTAATTCTATTTTTGACCACATTAAGAAGGAACTTGAAGGTAAGTTGTACCACAAAAGTGCTCATGGCGGTTCTTCATGCTAGTTTTGACCTTCAGGTGTGGTAACGGTTGAGAAAAAGTAATAAAGAGCGGGATAAATAACTGGGCAAGGCTTTCTAACATGTGGAGTCGTGTGTGAAAACAGTATTTTACCACAGCGCTGTTTCTACCAGTGCTTGTTTGAGCTAATCAATACCACTTGTTTTTTTTTAAAACCCTGCTCACTGACAGGTGGTGGAGAGTGAGGAGGAAGAGGAACTGATGCAAACAGTTGAAGAGGAGGGCCGTGAAGGTGACCAGTTTGATATCATCCCTCTCTACTCGGAGAGGGCCACTATCTCCAGCTTGGGTTCCTCTGGGACTGGGGGGGGGGCATCCGCCAACACAAGCCCAACCCAACCGGTACTGCTGCTCCTCCTGCTCATCCCGGCTTCCCTCCTCTGGGGGTAGATCAGGATTGGAGGATATAAAGAGGACACACACACACACACACATATTAAACGGATGGGCGAGTCATCTTGGACTAATTGCTGATGAAGTCTAACAGGCATCCTGAAGACTTGGACTTCACCTTGTGTCAGTGGTAACCCGTTGATTTGTGTCTTCTGTCTTTCATTTCTTCCCTTCTAACATAATCAGTCACTATGTCTTGTTCTCTCTGGCTTCGGCGGGGTGTTGTGGTCATGTGAGTACAGAAGGGATGCGTTTGCTAAGGCCAATGCAAATAACATGTCCACACGAACATTTATTCACTGTCGGCTCACAGATATTAACGGTATTTTTGGGTTTTAACGCACTGGCATTAGCGACTGTAAGCAGCCTCTCATGTTTCGCCTCGTGGCCAAATGTTAGAATTGGAGCTCTGGTAAAATGTTAATGACCAAAGACAGAAGCAGAGATGTTATTAAATGGCTGCCATCATCGCTGCAATTTGCAAACCAAGTGTTGTGATGGAACCACATGCCATGACATCTTTGTCCCATTAACGAATCACTCCGCTGTTTGCTAATGTACGATTATTTTGGGAAATAGAAAATGCAGTAAACATCCAATCGTTTAGGAGTTTTATTAAGAGAGGAAGCATTGTGTTCAAATACAGTGTATGTATTAATTACTGAAACCTATTTTCGTTTCATCCAGCATGTTTCATGTTTCGCTAACTAGCTTCCACCACTGAAACTATGGCCCCATTTGTCTTTCTGAAACTAGAAAATGTTAGGAAATGAAAAATAACATGCTGGAAAACCATTCTGGAGCGTTCACAAACCAATGAGGACAAGTCTGGGCATGATGTCCGAACGATGCCGATTTGTTTATTCCAAATTCCAGGACTCCCTTAAACAGAACAGAACACGGTAATAAAATTGTCCCTCACCAATTCTGACGTGTTGCTGCTGTTACAACCACACTGTACTATGAAAACTGCTTATCTGGAGAGAGAATGGGGAGAGGACGCTGCATGACCAGAGACATAAAAGAAGCTGCTGTCAGGACCCCTTCTATGAATAAATATGTATTTTCTACATTTTAATTTATTAAATAGATTATTAGATTGTTTGTCCCCCTGAATGTGACTGACCTCTCTCTGGTTCACCTAAAAAGAGACGTAAATATAGCCCAGTGGAGCAGCCTCCACCTCTCTGAACTCTCCATTTACAGAGAACGGAAAATGACCCTCTTGTCTCTCATTGTTTGACGAACATCAGGATGCAAGTGTGTGATATGTGTACCTGTATGTGCATCCAAGGAGGCATCGATCCAAAAGAATTACAAAGAAAACTGGGCAAACTTTTGTGTTATGATTTGAGGCCGTCACTGTGTCGTTCCCACCCCGTCACGTCTTCACACACGCACACATCGACACACACACACCGCCTGGCTTACGTTAAGCCGACGCAGCTCTTTTTCTCTTTATTGCTCCGTCTGTGTCTCCCTCCTGGGGGACTCTGGACCGGGACCTGAGCCGCTACAGGCGCTGATATGAATAGAGCCGTCCTAATAAAAAACGGCACACCGATAACATTATGAGCTCCGGCATTACGGCAGAACAAATCAAACAGATTCCCAGCAGTCAAAAAGGAGGGCGATGATTACGGCACGTCTGACACAGACAAAAGAAGGGGATTTGGAAATAGGGTGACGTATGGAGGAGAAATTAGAGGAAAAAAACAAGGCCATGTCCCCGTGTGGTCTTTGTGTGTTTGATGTTTTACTTGTTTTAAGTTGGGAGGCAGATAATCAGTCCCTGACAACATCTCTTTATCATCTGACAGGCTTCTGGGAGGTGGCTGCATGTGTGTGTGTGTGCGCGTGTGTGTGTGGGGGATGTATATCATGCAGTTAGAAACAGGGCTCTATGATGAGAACAGAAAGGACCCCAGAGCACAAACAGAGGAGAGAATCTCCAGCTCTTGATTCTCTGTGTCTTATAAATCTTTTGCTGACACTTTTTTCTCGTCTCTCTCCTATTTCCGGGGACTGTGTAAAATTAAGTTCCATTTTACGGGGTACAGGCAACAGTGGATGGAAATGAAAAGGAGTGTGAAGAGAGGGAAAGAAGAGGAACGAATGGAGGGTTAGTGGAGGCCATGGAAAGACTGAATAGTAGAGAAAAAAGGTGACTGATGGAACATCCTGGGGAGAAACAATTGGTAGAATGAAAATACAGAAAAAAAATAAGGAAGAAAGAATAGAGCAAAAAAGGGCAACTATGGAGAGAAAAGAAGTGAAGAAAATAAGAAAATGAAGAAAAGCTGGGAAAACAGGGGGAGAGAGAAAATTTAAAGTTAAAAATTTAAAAGCAAAAGAGGTAAAAAGAAGTGGCAAAAGATGGAGAGATAAATATGTGTGGTATGAGAGAGGAGAAGAAAAGGAAATACATTTGTAACAGGAGCAAATAAAGACAGCAACAGTAAAAAAAAAAAAGGGGAATGATTCGATGCAGTAAGGAGATGGAGGCTGAAAAGTGGAAAAAAAAAGGTAGGAAAAAAGTCTGCGGAGGCAGAAACGAGTAGAGTAGAGAGGGCGAGAATAAACCCAGTCCGGAGACAATTAAAGGCCAGAGAAAAGCGATGGTGTTCTCTAAACTGGATCTGTCTGCAGGTGTTGCTGTGAAAGGCAACAGCTGAAACCCGGAGAGCAATCCCAGAGGCTCCTCCGTCCGAACACACCCCTCAGACAAAGAGCCTGCCACTCGCTGAAGCTCGACGCGCTCTCCCATCAGGTCCTAAACAAAACCGATGCTACCCCATCAGGTCCTAAA